TTCAGTTCAGACAGCCTCTCACTGAGCTGTTGAGCTGAGGGACGCTCATTCTCCTTCTTCTTCAGACATTGGAGGGCTAGCGGCTTCAGAGCGTGGGAGTCTGGGATCAACCTGAGGTGGGCCTGGCGACGCTCTGCGTCTGGAACTACTTGTTGAAGTGGTTCTTCATATTGAGGAAATGAAACTAATCTAAAACGATCGGTTGGATTGGGGAACTGCCTGGTCAAGATCTGGACAACTATGACACCAAAGGAGAAGACGTCAAGCTCGAGATTACTGAATAAGTAATTATTCGTCTGCAACAAGGCCATCCATTAGCATATTTTACTGGCATACTGTAAAAAACGATCACGAACTAAGTGGTAGCTAGCTACTAGCTGAATCCGGCATAGCTACACCAAAGTGCAGTTGGACATTTCTTTTCTAAAACACCTTTATTACTTTTGCTATACACACCCTTTAGTTCGTCTGTGTGTTTGTGGGTATCTGACATTACACAAATCCTTCTTCCAGCACAATAATAGACGAGCCGGGAGCAGTGCTACCAACATTGATATACACCTGAGCATGCATTAATCGCAGTGTGGTGTGAAGACTTCAGGTGCTGTGTATGCTCCACCAAAAATGCCGCCCAGCTACCGGTAACTTACACTCTTGAGCAATGTCCTGTCCACCATAGTTGGGTTGTTCAGCCTGAAAACGAGCCATGTAAGGTTGAGGATAGTAGGGTTGAGGGTTGGGCCTCCCAGCAGGTTGTACGTAGGCAGAGGAGGCCACCAGCAGCGTAGTCAGAGCCAAGGCAAGAAGAGTCTGATGCATCATCCCTCTCTGTCTTAAGTGAGTATCCTGAATTGGTTAGCTGTTTCTTTCACCAAAGTTACAGCTTTTTGCGTGTGAGTTGGGCAGAAGATACTGCGGGTTTTAAGAAGAACACTCCAAGGTTTTCTGGTGGGTAGTTGCCAAATGGCACATTGAATACAAAGCTCTACACTGGCCCGAGTCACTTGTTTGTGCTTTTGACTAATATAGCCATTATTATATTGCATTAAAGCACCCTCACTGGAGAAATTACCAAAGAAACGTCAATGCACAGAGACTCAGAGGATGGCCAAATGAGCACTTTCACTACTAATGCCCTCCCTTTGGAGTCACTTCCCTACATTAGGCTATTTACTTCGTGTTTTTCCAACATTGTCATAGGAGCAAGCTACTTCGCTTTGCTCTTTTGCAACATTGCTCCACCTCCTGCACTCGTGCTGTAGAGTACAGTATACTGTTATGCAAAGCTGTGCCTCCACATGCAATGTGACAAACGTGTATTTTTAACCTTTATTGCTGTGCAATAATATTGTGGGTATTTTAATCTTTATTGTTGTGCAAGCATTCTAAAATGTTGTAGAGCACTTGCACACTCTTTTCGTTGTCTCATCCGAAACTTTCGAGAGTTGCAAACATTGTACTATAAGGTTTGATCTACACATCACGTGCCACATTATGTGGTCAGCTTCAGTTTTAATGTGGTGCCAGTGTCAATGCTGGATTCAATGGATGTTTTGCTGGTGATAACTGTGTGAGGTTTTTCTCCATTACCTGCTTCCACATCCTGCTTCTTTGACCTCCTCTGCTCACATGTTAAGGAGCATTACTTGTGTTCCTTGTTAATTTTGTGCTACTAACAATTCTGTTAGACATATATAGTCATTCCTCATTACACCAAACTTGGAGTTACAGAGGGAGTTGTCACACATAGTGATCATTGTATTGATGATGGAGAATCTCTTCACCCATTTCTGTTATACTGTAAACAGAGATATTTAACCAAATCTGTGAAACGTTTGCAGACAATAAGTTTAATCCTGTTTCTGTTTTAGTCAATGAGCATTTTAAGCAAGCTCTTTTATTGCACAATTTTCACTGCTGGAGGAAATTCGCAATCAATTTGGTTCGACTACAGAAAAGGGTTTTGGCTCACAAAAATCCATGACTATATATGCTAAATATATTCTACCCTATGTGTGCAGGTTGAGTGTATGTAAATTTTACAACATAATACTTGTTTCAATAGCATATCTCTCTCGAACACAGTCATTTCAGGAAAATCGCCTTTTAATTTTCAGGCTCGCGTAGATCTGAAGCCGCTGGAATCACTAACAGGCCGCCTCGTAGCCTGTAGTGCAAGAATAAGCGTCGATAACGACGACTAAAGTAACCCTCGCTGCGCATGCGCGCCGAGGGTTAAATAGTGAATGCGTGTATATAGCTACAAGAAGGCCACGGAATTTGCTAACTATAGTAAAATAATCCTGTTTTTCTGTCTGAGCACTGTTGTTCCATAGCGCCTATCAGATAGTAACTTGATCTTTCTTAGTCAGCACACCGAGGTTACAATACTGCAACATACTGAGAGGCTGGACTCCAACAATGAGGTGCATGCGAGGGAGGAGCAAAATATGCTAGCTACATACCGCCCCTGAATAGCTGATAGGTTCCAACTCATGAATAGCAAAATGTTATAATAGCAACCTCACACAGTCGCACTCCCACACTTAGTTTAGCTAACTTCATACTTCTTTAATGAACATGCCATTATGTGGGGCAGACGCTCAATGGAGGAAATAAAGCCAGTCTGATACTGCTGGTCTGGTTAATGGGGTAGTCATGGAGTGATGGTCTATAGGCTATTTAAATTGTACAACATTAAACTGTTTGAAGGTGCAAAATATCACGGGCCAGAGCAGGATTGTTCCCTCCAGCTCTGCAACCGACACCCTCACTTAGTTTCTGCCATGACGGCTCTCCGCACACTCTTGTGTCATATGCCCTCCTCAGCCAGTCTTTCAGCATGCCGTTTAGACGACTTTCGACGTCATTATTATCGGCATATATCCTATCTAACTGATCAGCCTTCAGGCCTAATTGCAGCCCAATAAATTTCCACTTTACTGCTACATTAATGAGCTGGGACCTCACTTCCTGTAAATTGTCTATGCCTAGCAATGAAAAATATCACCGTGAGTAAGAATAAAACAGCTGCACATACCAAGTGGATAGTTTTCTGGTACACAAGCATCTGTAGGGGATAAGGAGAGAGTGTTTTAATATCCCTGTAAATCGTACCCCATAATACCATTAGGGATAATCGAGGAGGGAGGAGGATCAAGATATATATCATACTGAAGATCGCTCCTGGCTCCCTTAAGCTTTATCCTTCCACCTCTCAGTGTTGGATCTTTTGGGGAGGGGGCTAGAAAGATCTGGAACCTTGGAGGGTAGAAATCTCTATGCTCTGCAACCTGTAGGTCCTCTGGTAACGTCCTCTTTCTGACAAAGAAATCCACTTCGCTACGGTAAACCTAGGTTAACACAAAATGCAATATGCTTGATTACGATACTGTTATAAGAGCCTGGGAGAATGTAACATACTTTCGTCTTTCCTACAACTCCAATGCTGCCATGGTTTGGTTGACGAACATCTATATCTACCGCTGGGTCATTTGTTAATTTCTTAAAACGAAATGGAGTCTGTGTTTTTTCGTAATTATCCACCAAATGTTTATTTTCTATCACTTCATCTACTTTTGTGAGGCAAGTATTCAGGTTGTAGAACGTGATAAAAAAGTAGGCGGTTTGCTTCTTCCCGTCAGAATTTGCACATTTTGGGAGAACTGCAGTGGTGCAGAAATGTGTCATTCTGAGGCATTCTGGTGTGTCTCTGCTGACAATGCATAGTGAGCAAAGGTGAGTTGTTTTAAGAACACCAAATTGTTTGCAAGGTTCAAATACCGACTCTCCCTCTGTTGGCTTGAATTCATACAGGCCCTTCGTGTTCCTGTTGTGCTCTGCTTAGAGGAAGGTGAGACCAAGAGATTGGATCTCGTCATGATTCTCAAGGTTAAGAAAGTGAGGGATAGAGACTGTGACTGGTTTGGAGAACTGAAAATTTCTCTGGTCACGAACACAGATCCAGAACACAGGAGACACGGGTCTCAGACCTTCAGGGAACTGGAACGGGCCAAAGAGGGCCACTCCAAAGTCAATTGTGAAGTTCTCTCCCGCAGGAATGGCTCCTCTTGGGATATCCAGTCTTAAGTTATTAGACTTGTCATTATACCAGACTCTCTTACTGCTTTTCTCAGCTTTGATATGTATAGGTGTCATGTGATCTGGAAGAAAAGTCGAGCTCGATGTGTCTGGGAGAGAGACACCTGTAGCATCGTTACTCGTATTGCTGTAATAACCACTTGTATGACTGTCAGTTCTGGGTCCATCATTACTCTGACTTTTTTTACGCGCTTTATTCTTTTTCCTTTTCATGGGAACTTCTCCAATTGCGCCCTTGCCTCGACCACTGCCAAATGTGGTTAATTGAATATTACCTAGTCTGTCAGCCGATCCATTCTGACTGTTCTGAGGCTCTGGCTGGCTTAAGTCACTTAGGGGGTAGTTCGATGAGGAGGAAGTCGAGCTTGCATTGCTGATTTTCCTTTTATGAACCGGTAAAGGATGATGGAAAGGGTCATCTTCTTTCTCATCACGCATTGCCTGATTTACAAATACAGCCGATTTATCATTGATCGGATTTGAATTCAAAAGGGAGGATGGGTAGGACATGGGTAAATTATTATGTGTAAAATAACTCTCTCTTAATGCCGAGTCACCCGTTGGTAGCTGCTCGGTTTGTGACTTAAGAATTTTCCGGTTCCTCTGTTGTCTTCACATCCTCTTCCTGTTCTCTCCTAGACTCACTCGACCTCAGCCTGCAACAGGATCTGCCAATTGAATAGCGTTTTTTATACAGGAAGATGGCAAGTAGCACTCCAAAAAACAACAACAGAATAATTATTATTGCCACTGTCAAAGTGGTAATCAGTGCAGCTCTACTCAATTGCTCATCAGCTGGCATTGTGCCATTTTGCTTTGACGAGGACATTGGTGAAGGAGACACAGAGATAGATGTTTCGAGCTGAACAACGGAGCCATTAGAGGTCACACTGAAGGTCTGTGCGACATCAACAACTAGCGAGAACAACATGGACGTCAACAGTCCAATTGCGACCCCCGTCATTGTCCCTGTCTTTAGCAATACTGCTGCACCCCGTAAAACGATGCGGTGCTTTATGATATACCGGCGATCTCTTCCACAAGGAAGCTCTGCACAATGCCAGTCAGTGTAGGAACGCTACTGAGCCGCCGCACGCTATGAATATATATTAGAACGCTGGCGCATGCGCATGCATTTTTTGCGTTACCGCGCATGCGCAGTGCGCCGGGGGTTAGTTCCCATGGCCAGTTTCACATCATCAAAAATACCTTGTGCTACTGAATAAAATTGTCCAGAGCAATCCGTGAGACTAAAACAAATTTCCCAATCCAGGACAATTTTTTGTCACTCGCCCTAAGCTTAGAGTGACCGAATTTTTTTTTGTCTCAAGTGTATATATATAATTATATATGCATACAGTGACGTCTGCAAAAACTGTTTAACTTCACTTCAAAATTTCTACACTATCAGTGTTTTCTTCGTGTGGGATATACAGTTTTACTCCCCCAACAACAAGCAGATAGTCTCCAAGAGGAGTGACTGCAAGACATTCTGATCGCTTGTTCTTCATGTGAGTAATGATGGTCCAAGAGTTGGAGTGGGGGTCGTATCGATAAATGTTAGAGGTGGATTTGCCTGAGTCATCTCTCCCACCAATAGCCAGCAGTTGACAAGAGAAGATCGGTCCACGGGCAAACAACCAATTTCTTTCCAAACTTTGCAACTTGGAGAAAGTGATGCCGTGGGTGACCACAGGTCAGGAAAGGAGCAAGTGAAGACTGACTTTGACCGTTCAGGTCCTCCTGCCATGTACAGAATGTCTTGAAAAACAGCACCTGACAAATTTGAGTACTTTTGTGGGAGACGAGAGACTGAGCTCCACTGTTTAGTACGAATACTCATAACTTCGACAATATCGAGGAGATCGTGATTAACTCCCTGACCGCCACAACCAAAACCTGTTCAGTAGTCACACATGTTGCACTCTCCCGTGCTGTCGGCATGGGCGGGATGATTGCTGACCACTCTTTCCCCTTCCCTTCTTCGATGAGACTGTTGATAATGTAACCTCCCACACTAGCAAGAAGACCATCGACAACTGCCAGACCAAAGCTTGAAGTCGGGTTATGAGTAAGTACACACCATGCTTCTCCCCCTAGAACATTCTCGTACACATAGACAATTCCTGAATATGGCGGTGTTGTCTTTCTGCTGCAGGCTGAAACATTGTTTTGCACCTGTTTTCGGGTGTCTTGCAATCCAGGCAAAAGATAGACAGTTCCAAGAAAAACCACGGAAGAGCTCCATGAGCTACCGCAGTGAACTAGCAGCAAGAAAGAAATGATCGCTTGATGTCCGTGCACACCTCCGGCGAAAATGGAGACATTCAGCGAAAAAATCTGCGCTTCAACTGATACTGGTAAGGAGATAGCGGGTTTAAAGAAGAAGAAGATGAAGAATATTATGATGATACGACATTGCGTATGAGCGAAATCTCGCGTGGATGACTGAAGGTGCGTATGAAGTCTTTGGGAACGTGCATAGGTAGATATGCGCCTGTAAACTATTGCTAGTGTGTTTTGAAGGCCTATGGAGTCATTCTCACCGAGTTTTTATCCATTTGGTATGCGGATCACGTAAGAATTCACCCGTGCCATCCCTATATAGCTAGAGAGTCTACCGACTCTATGATATATTATATATAGCTATATTATATATAATTATAATATTATACTGCACAATTTAACTGCAGGAGGAAATCTTTAAAACAGTTCGGTACGACTACTGAAAAGGGTTTTTGGTTCACAAAAATCCACAACTATGCTAAATCCCATGTTTGCAGGTTGTAAAATGCAATACAACTCCCCCACTACATACCCCACCCCGGCGGTTCCTGTGTTGATGCTGGATTTGTTGGTTGCTGTCACTCGTCATAACTTTCTGTGCTCGCTCCTAGTCGCCATTTAGTTTGCATTCTAGTAAAATAAAGCAAACATGTTGGTTGCCTGATTGTTGGCGAGCGGGAGCGAGCCAACCTAGACGTTCGATCGAGCGGGTTTTTCTGTTTATGTATCGTCCGTTGGTACGTCGTGTAAGTGCGCATGCGCGGCTTCTTACGCGCTTCTTTTATCCGACAAATTTTTACGCATTTTCACACACGCTGCACTGCCTCGCGATATGATCTAGCCAGCTAGAGAACTCTCCTCCATTTCGACGGCATGCGCTGCAACCTTCGCTGACGTTCTGCTCACCTGCTCACCTGCTCACCTGCTCACCGCTCTGTACGCATGTTACAGCGACAGGTAGATCTGTCTTGCTTCACGAAAGGAAAGCTGTGCGCTGACGGCACGTTATGTAGCCTGAACATCGCGGGCAAATCCCAAGTTGGGTCGCTCCCGCTCGCCAACAATGTTCAACATTTCCACTAGTTATTAACCCTCGGCGCGCATGCGCAGTGAGGGTTACGGTACTGTGTACGTCTGTGTCCGTTCCCGTTTTCTGCCACTAGGCGCAACAAGATCGCCAAAAGTCTACGCAAACGGGTTCGGCGCTACATTTGCCAAAACTGGCGATTTTCGTAAAAACACTGCGTTCAAAAGTTATGGCGTGAAAACCAAGTGAATGAAAAGCACTAAAGGGCAAACCCTCGGCGCACTACGTATGCGCGGTATCGCTAATTGTGGACTGGGGGTTAGGCTATAAGTATATGCAGTTACTCGTGGTGTAGCTCGCGGAGAGTCTGACGCGGGCTACCTACACTAGTATATAAATTTAAATCTCATCCTAC